TATTTTTGTTTTTGTGACAAATATTAAGACATTTCATAAAAATTAAGAATATGTCAAAATGACATTGACATTTCAAACCGGAAGTTGCTTATATCTCGAGTAATATTGGAATTAAACGTATCATGTTTGGACTCATTTTAAAGGATTTTTCACGACGATTACAAATATGTCAAAATTGACATTGACATTTCTAACCGGAAATTGATCATAATTTCATTAATATTCAAGATAAATATGTCGTGTTAGTACTCATTTTAAAGGATTTTTAATGAAGATTACAAATATGTCAAAATTGAGATTAACATTTTAAACCTGAAGTTAGATATCATAAAACAGATAAATAGACAACTTCATGGTGTCCTTTCACGATGTATTTTTTATTAAAAAGCAACATGATGGAGTATGTTTTGGTGCCAAGAACGAGTCCAAACATGATACGTTTAATTCCAATTTTAGTCGAGATGTAAGCGACTTCGAGTTTGAAATGTCAATGTCATTTTGACAATTTAATTTTTATAAAATGTCTTAATATTTGTCACAAAAACCAAGATATAATAAAAAAAATAAAAAATTAAGGTTGGTATTAATATTTAAAAATTAAATTGCTATCTTCATTCTTGCTAACTTCAGGTTTAATGTTTTATTCTAACTTTTTTGTGTTTTGAGATAAGTGCGTCATCTTTGGACTCATTTTAAAGGTTTCTTAATAAAGATGACAAATATGTCAAAATTGACGTTGACGTTTCAAACCGGAAGTGATTGTATCTCCATTAATATCAAATTTAAATATGTCGAGTTTGGACTCATTTTAAAGGATTTTTTATGAAGTTGACAAATATGTCAAAATTAAAAGATGAAAGTTCGAACTTTTTGTTTTTTTGAGATAAATGTGTCATGTATGGACTCACTTTAAAGGTTATTTTATGAAGATTACGAATATAATAATAAAATTTAAGTTGACATTGACAACTGAAATTTTATTTCACGACTAAACCCGAATGTTTCTTGTTCTCGAATGATTCTAGCTCTAGGTCTTGTGTTAGTTCTAGTTTTAGTGTAAAGTTTTAGTTAATCTATTTGTAGAACCTCTAAAGATGGCCAAGGGCCGAAACTAGTTTGACTCAAATTCTATATAAAATAAAAGATATAAATTTTTAATTTTATGCTACTGGTCCGAAATTGTAGGTTCATCTATTTTTTCTATTGTAGAATTTCTTGGTGTATCTAAGTGTCGTATTTAAATCGGTTCTTAGACGTATGATGACATCGTATAACGTGATTGGCGCTTAGCTTTATCCTTTAAAACTAATGGTATTTTAGGTCTTTCGGTATTCCGCATTTTTTGTAAGATAAGTTGCACCTTTACCTACCAGACAGCATGAAAATCTCTAAAAACGATAAAATATCGCTTAGTCAAGTGATGTATAACGCGGTCCAATTATTCTTTGCATTAACATTTAGGTTCCCGTAAAAGATTACCTGATGGTTTAACTCGTCGTGGTGACATAAACGTTCTTCTTTTGGGTGACCCTGGTACCGCAAAGTCACAGTTGCTAAAATTCGTTGAAAAAGTCGCTCCAATAGCCGTTTATACATCGGGGAAAGGAAGTTCAGCCGCGGGTTTGACAGCTGCTGTTATGAGAGATCCAGCAACGGTAATAAACAAAGCATCCCTTTAATTATTACTTTTGAAATAATTTTTTTTAGAGAAATTTCGTTATGGAAGGTGGAGCTATGGTTTTGGCGGACGGCGGAGTTGTTTGTATCGATGAATTTGATAAAATGCGTGAAGACGATCGTGTCGCGATTCATGAAGCGATGGAACAACAAACCATTTCTATTGCAAAAGCTGGAATTACCACGACTTTAAATTCGAGATGTAGCGTTTTGGCGGCTGCTAATAGTATTTTTGGTCGATGGGATGAAACAAAGGTAATGAAAAAGAAATATTTGTATAATAAGTTATTTATATTTGTTTTAGGGTGAAGAAAACATCGATTTTCTGCCAACAATTCTGTCTCGTTTCGATATGATTTTTATCGTTAAAGACGAACATGATCAACGAAGAGATATGGTAATTTAAGTTCATTTAAAATAGAAAAATTATTCAATATAATTTTTTTTAGACATTGGCTCGTCATATCATGAGCGTTCACATCAACGCTTCTGGGCATATGAATCAAGAACAACCTAAAGAAGGCGAGATTAGTTTGGATTTGTTTAAAAAGTACATCAATTATTGTCGAACGTAAGACAAATATATACAACTATTAACTTTGCATAGACTAAGACTTAAATTAAAACTAGAACTAACTATCACTACAACTAACAATAGACCTAGAAGGCCTATTTTTATTGCTATTGAAGACCTAGATGTTTCTAGGACTACTGTAAGTTCTAGTGATAGTCCTAGTTTAAGTTCAATGGGGATGTTACACTTTTTTTTTATTGGCTTATTCGATAGTTTCGCAAAATTGAAGACTTCAATATTTTTTTAATTTTCAAACTAAGCTTTAGTTTTCCAAAAAAAATATTGAAAATTTGAAAAAACTTTGGTGACGTCAACAATGCACGTTGAAACGCCACCAAAGCTATTATAGAGAGTATTTTGAATTTTAATATTAATTATTGCAAAAATTAAACAATTTTAGGATCTGAAAATGTTACCAATCCTTCTATTTTTACATAGTTTATCGATTTTTTGAAAGACGGTCTTTTTATTCGATTGAGCGTAACGGCCCCATTAACGCAAGTGTGTCAGTGGAGTTGTGTTTCAGGCTCGTGGGGCTATTGCTTTCGCGTTAATTTTTAATTCTAACTTTTCTTTGTTTTACGGACGACCGACGACTGGCGTTTTTGCTTGTCCGCGGATGATCTTCGTCGTTTTAAGGATGAGGGCGCTGCATGGATTTGTTGCAAATGTAGTAGCCGGCTAGATTGCTCTATTATTGTAGTTGACGAGTCGCTCCTATTGTTTGAGCAGCGGTGACTCGTCGAGTGCGAGTGGTTGCTTCGCCTAATGCTGAGGAACCTGATGCGTCGAAACTGAGGGAATATATGTACTTTTAAAGGATATTCAGGCGAAAGTAAAGGGTTTATCTAACAAATGCGATTTAAAAATAAAAGGGGTGGATGCGCCGGTATTCTCACGCACACTAAATATATATAACCACTAAACCATTCTTATACATTGGGAGCCGCAACTTTAATCTCGAATGACCATTAATGATCTTAGAGTTTTGTTCGACAGCAGGCTGATGTTCAATTTACATGTGGACTTTACTATTGCCAAGGCTCTAAAACGGTTGGGTTTTGTGAGTAGGACCTGCCGTGTGTTCACAAATATTCAATGTATTAAATCTCTTTAGTTTTGACGTTAACATTTTTTTGTGATGTAAAATGATCGAATTTGATAGTTACAATATCAATTGGTAGCAGAAAATAAGCTAAATATGTCATTTAGAATATCAAACTGTCAATTTTGTCTTTAAGCTATCATTTAGATGTGACTTTTGGCATTAAAATCTGCGTGTGATGCACAATAATTAAATTTTACAGTTAGAACTTCAATTGGTAGCAAAAATTGAGCTTGACCTGTCATTAAGGAAGTCAAATTGTAAGAAAATTGTAATTTAATCTTCAATATGTCATTCAAATGTCAGTTTTGACGTTAAAATTTTCTTGTGATACAAAATGATCGAATTTTACAGTTAGAACGTCAATTGGTAGCAAAAATTGAGGTTGACCTGTCATTAAAAATGTCAAACTGTCAATTTTATCTTTAAGTTATCATTTAGATGTTACTTTTGGCATTAAAATCTTCGTGTGATGCAAAGTAATCAAATTTTACAGTTAGAACGTCAATTGGTAGCAAAAATTGAGGTTGACCTGTCATTAAGAATGCCAATTTGTAGGAAAATTGTAATTTAATCTTCAATATGTCATTCAAATGTCAGTTTTGACGTTAAAATTTTCTTGAGATGCAAAATGATCGAATTTTACACTTAGAACGTCAATTGGTAGCAAAAATTGAGGTTGACTTGTCGTTAAAAATGTCAAACTGTCAATTTTATCTTTAAGTTATCATTTAGATGTTACTTTTGGCATTAAAATCTTCGTGTGATGCAAAATAATCAAATTTGACAGTTAGAACGTCAATTGGTAGCAAAAATTGAGGTTGACCTGTCATTAAAAATGTCAAACTGTCAATTTTATCTTTAAGTTATCATTTAGATGTTACTTTTGGCATTAAAATCTTCGTGTGATGTAAAATAATCAAATTTGACAGTTAGAACGTCAATTGGTAGCAAAAATTGAGGTTAACCTGTCATTAAGGAAGTCAAATTGTAAGAAAGTTGAAATTTAATCTTCAATATGTCATTCAAATGTCAGTTTTGACGTAAAAATTTTCTTGTGATGCAAAATGATCGAATTTTACAGTTAGAACGTCAATTGGGAGCAGAAAGTAAAGTAAATTATGTCCTTTAGAATGTCAAATTGTCAATTTTGTCTTTAAGCTATCATTTAGATGTCAACTTTGACATTAAAATCTTCCTGTGAAGAACTAGGAACATTCGGGTTTAGCCGTTCGTCTGAAGACTCTCGCTTCTTGAAGACTCGCGTCTATTCTTAGTTACTCCTCTACTGTTTGGAACCCTCATTATGCTATTCACATTAACCGCATTGAATCCCTACAACGAAAGTTCTTAAGATGACTATCTTTTGCGTTGCAATGCTCTAGGGTTTTAGACATTGAAGCGAAGGAGATCATGTAACGATATGTATTTGAGAGAATTATGTTTTTATGTGCTCTCAGATGCTTTTGTTGGTTGGTCAACCCTGTTTGCATCCCGAATGTAAATAAATAAATAAAAATAAAGGTCCTGAAAGTCTTTGTACTTATAGAGTAAGACTGTTTTTAATTTTAGTCGTTGTGGACCTCGTTTAAGTGCGGATGCTGGTGATAAATTAAAGAGACGCTATGTAATAATGCGAAGTGGAGCTTTCCAACATGAAAAAGAAGCCGACAAGAAAAGCGCAATTCCAATTACCGTGCGTCAATTGGAGGCGGTCGTTCGAATGTCGGAAAGTTTAGCAAAAATGCAACTTTTGCCTTTTGCAACTGATGCTCACATTGATGAAGCTTTGAGATTGTTTCAAGTTTCCACTCTCGATGCCGCAATGAGTGGAAACCTAAGTGGTAAATAATATTTTAATAAAATCGAAGTTATTATTGTTTAAAATCTTGTTGGTTGTTTAGGTGCTGAAGGATTTACAACAGAAGAGGAACATGAAGTGTTAGCGAGAATTGAAAAACAATTAAAAAGAAGATTTGCGATTGGAACTCAAGTTTCGCAACAGAATATTATTCAAGATTTCGTTCAACAACAATATCCTGAACAAGCAATTATTAAAGTTATTTATGCTATGATAAGAAGGGGTCAATTACAGCATCGAATGCAAAGAAAAATG